GCCGGCGCCCACTGCAGAGCGACGGGCCCAGGGACTAGGGACTATATATACCCGGGCACACGTGTGTGCCTGTCTGTGTGTGTGCGCGCCCATGTGACATGGCGCGGACGGCTCCGCGCTGCTACCTCCCCCACGTGCACGGCCGCCCCCTGGGGCCTAGGATTGGACGCCCCTTCCCACTGCTCTTGTCCCCCAAGCCTGATAGGACCCGCACGAATGGACGGGGGACTTCTGATTCTTGCCAAACTGAGAGTACCCCCTTCCCCCACCCCCGTTTCTCCAACCTGCCCGCCGTTTTAACTCTTCATTCTCCTGCTTGTCAGGTTGCCTGACCTCCAGGGTTCGGCCCTTACTTCCTGCTTGGACTTCAGTTTTCAGGACAGGGAGTGGTGGGAATGTAACTCAAGGTCTCTGCCTGCCACTCTGCTGGTTTCCATGGGGTTGGGGTGCAGGAGGGGCTGGCCCACGGCTGGGGGCTATTTTTAGCGACAGTGGTTCGGGTGCAGAGATGAGATAAGTAACCAGCTTTCAGGCATGGAGGGAGGAGGCGGTGGCTTTCATGCAGCTTTTGTGCCAGTCTGGGGGACAGCTGCCTCCCCTGAGCTCAAAGAGGGCGACTTCCACACCCTTAACCCCTCACCTCAGTCCTGAAGCACAAAGCTGCTGGTACAGCAGGGCACAGGAGTCTGGCTTGACCATCAAAACTGCCCTGCCACTCTCGTTCTAGATGTTTGTCCTTGGGAACCAATGGAGCCCTCCCCCAGCAGCAGGCTCTCTCCCCCTAGTCCAGAAGCCAGGACGTTAGGGTCACTCTGTTTTGTGCCCACACAGCTCTGCCCAGTCTTATGGAGGACAGAATAGAGTGCTATGCACTTGCACCCTTTCAGAAAGGGTGGAGGAATGGCGTGCTCCTTGGCACAACCAATCCCTTAGCAACTGAAATGATAAAAATGACCCCTATTCCCCAGTATAGAGCTCCCCAGCACCACCACCACCACAGTGACTGGCTCACTCAGCCCCCACCTGAAGTGATGCTCAACATGCTCACCTCTTAGGCTCATTCTGTCCTGGGGGCCTGTTGCTTACATCTATCCACATGATCCCTCCCCCCAAGCCTATACCAGGTGTCCCCTGATTCACCATGGTAATGTTAGTGGCAGCACAGCCCACGCCAACCCTTACATGCAGAGACTTAGCAACCATGCCTGGCAACCATGGCAGCAGCTCTAGTGGAGGGGAGGGGCGGGGGTGGGGGGAAGAATGTGCATGGCAATGGCTCCTGAGGAAGAAGGGATAATTTGTCTCTTAGAGGAATAGGTAAGAATAGAAGCTCCCAAATTTCATCCCTTGTCTTTCCCTTAGATCCGTCCTCAGACTCAGACTGGCTGGTTGAGTTTTTTGGGGGGAATGGGAAGAGCAAGAGATCCTTATTTGTTTTCCATTAAAATATCTGCAGTCCTTCAGGTAAAAGCCTTTCCATTTGAGGGGATGAGATAAGAAGGGTTGTTGCAGGGGAGAGACTGACTGGGAACCCAGGCCTCCTGCTCCTTAACATGGGCCTTTAGGGAGAACCCAAATGCCTGTCCCATCCACCTTATCCTCCTTGAATCCATGTACCTACCCGCTGCATTGATGACTGCTTGAAGGTCTTCCTTCCAGCCCAGGTCCCACTAGAATCCTAAGGCTTTTTAAAGTCCTTGCCTCCACTCTAGACAAACCCTCCTTCATGATGGAATGTGACAGAGACATCTGTCTTTTCTACCATACACCCACCCCCACACACATAAACATACCCCAATTCTAATTACTTGGAAGCCTCCCTCCCCCAAGTTTGGGAATATGCTGAGGCATGTGAAAAGGTGACTGCAGCAGCGGAGGACCTCTCTGTACCCATAATGCAGCAGTGAAAGCTGAGCTCTGCTAAGTGCCTTGATGCTGTTACCTGTGTTCCATCAGGAAACCTGGTTTGGGGAATCCAGTATGGTATGACTGGGGGTTCATCAGAGAGCTTAATTAGGCACAGCAGGGATAGGGCCATGGAGTTATTCTGAAATTGTTTCTGGTCTTGGATGAGAAATTATATCATACCTACACAGAAGAGGTTAGGATACCCAAAATCTGGTTCATACCCAATTAGCATTCCTTATAGTGTTTGGTGCTGCCTATTGTATTGGTCCACATGGTTTCAGCATAGGAAAAGGGTCTAATGGGGTGACCTCAGTCCTGCTGTTCCCCTCCCTCATTCTCCAGCTTATTCTTACCTTGGAAGGCAAGACACTTGTGGGTTCAAAGATAGCAATAGCTCAGCAGAATCCAAACAGCCCAGCTTCCCTGACTATGAAAGGTTAACAGTGGTGACAGGTCTCTCTGCCTAAAGGAGACCCTCAGTCTATCTATTCTGCAGTGACCTAACATTGTCATGGGCTTTCCCTTGGGTTCTAGCTATGGTTCAGGCAAAGGGCAAAGTGAGATTATAAAGCAGAGGGCTACAGGGCAGAGCAGGAAACAGTTATTAAAAGAGAATTAGAGAAGCATGAAGTCTAGTGTAAAGAGTATGAACTCTGAAGCCAGACTGGGATCATAGACTAGGTCTACTTTTTACTAGCTGTGTGTTCTTGGGAAAGTTTTTTAACCTCTCTGAGCCTGTTTTATTTTTTAAAAATCTATGAAACTGCAACAGCAGTAGTACCTGCTATTGTTCTGAAATTAAACAAATTATGTAAGCAAAGCACTGAGAATGGTGCCTGACACACAGTAAGATTATATATATGTATATAACCACATATATACGTGTGTGTGTTATTGTTATTAATGATGAGTTGAAGAAGCCATATGAAGTAGGAAGGTTGGAGCAGTAGTGTCTGTCAGCTGCAAAAATCAAACACTGAAATATGATGAAGATTCTTGTCATTTTAATTAGGTTTGCCATGAAAAACAGTAACTTCAGCTAATCATCTCATCCTCCATTTAACCCCCATCTGCCTTCATATATAAACAGCGTAGGAACATCAAGGCCCTCCTTGCCACAATCCTCTCCACTCCCATTATAGGAAGAAATGTCACTAACTGGACTCAGCCTCCCCCATATGGCATGAAACATAATGAATAAAAATATCTTTATGAAGACTGTTGTGCTATTATCTTTAGGGTGGAATAAGGAGCAGGGCTGGGGCAAAGGCCAGGTGAGGTCTAGGGATCTCTTAGAGATCAGAATCTGCCTGAGGGAGGGCACAGAGCCCATAGTTGACCCAGAAAGGAGGTTATGTCTAAGGGGACAGGGGTTGAGATAGGCTGGGCTAAAATTTTCTCAAGCATGTGTGTGAGGATAAGGGCAGCTAAAAATCTATTCTCCTTCCTCCTCCAAATCCCTCAGCCCCCAGGTAGAAGGGGAGGGGGCTCCTGAACAGGGAACAGAGCCACAATTCTCCCACGGTTTCATCTATGAGTCCCAGAGCTGCTGGCAGGCACTGAGTGTGGCATATCCCTTAGTGCTGCTTTGCCCCTTCCCCCAGCTCAGAGCTTCTCTCCGCCTGTGAGCACCAGGGCCTGCAGGATGTCGGACAGAGACACAATTCCCTTGACCACATCATTCTCATCCACCACCACAAGTCGGTGAACCTGGCACAGAGCAACAAGGGAGAAAGAGGGTGTTTAGTGCCAGCCTCAGTTAGGGTGGGCCCCTCTCCCCTTACCCAGTTCACCAAACTCCACTCTTAAGGCTTAGGTCTCTTGCCACTTGCCTCCCCTGCTGCTTTATAGTCTCCGACTTTCCTACCTCTGCTTCCACCAGCCTATTGATGATGGTCTCCAGAGTCTCATGTAGGTAGCACTTGAGAACACCCTCAAAATAGTGTGATCGATGTTGTAGGGCTTTGGTTACAGATACATCTAGGTTGTTGTAGGTCTTTTCTGCTGCCAGATTCTGGAAAGAAAGAAGAAGGAGCTTACAGGGAAGCAAGCCACTCTCCAAACATCAGCCCACCCAACCTCCCCAGAAATACTTAGGGCAGTTTTCAGTCATGCCCCTAAGTCACACCTAGTTCATCAGTTTCTTTTCAAACAGGATTTGAAACCTTGGAAGTTTTCAAGATCCTTAGGTCCCAGAAGAGACACCCTTCTCCCTCTGCACAGTCCATACCCCATCTCCCCCACCCTTTCCCTACCTCCCAGCCCCGACACAATCACTCACGATAACATCAAACTTGGAGTAGATGTCCACCACACGCCCTAGGGGGACAGAGGCAGCTCAGTAAGGAGGATCTGGCATCCAAGGCTCCCCCTGCCATAGAATCACACTCCTGGCTGAGGTGGGAGCAGATTTCCTGAGCCACCCTAACTTCCCAGGAATCCCTCCCCCACCCCCACCCAAACCCGCACCTTTCTCATCCACCACCGGCAGGGCAGAAACTCGATGCTGCACAAAGATTCCCAGGGCCACATAGACTGGGGTGGTAGTACGGACCATGGCGATGTTGGCATAGGTGCCAATCTGTAGCTCTTTCAGAGACTTAGACATGAACTCTGGCTTGGGGAACTCAGTGATCTGAGGAAAGAAGCATCTGCTTGAACTTCAAAGCTCTCAAACCACCCTCTGAAGGCCAACCTAGTATGTAAGAAGTAGGAACTGGGCTGAGGACCACTTACAAACAATTTGAGGAACTTGAGGATACGCTTGTGCGTGAGTATGTACAAGGTGTTGCCTGATTCTGGGTCAATAACTGGCAGCCTGTGGATCTTGTTTCGAATTAATGAAGAGACAGCATCAAACAAGCTGTGGAAAGTTGGGAGACAATGATCAGTTCTATAGTGCTGGGGCTGAAAGTGGTTAAATCTCTCCTTAGAGTATGTTTACAACAGGGAAAACTGGCG